GAGTCCATTTTGGAGCATCCATTCTTGGAGCAGGCACGGGCACGCCTCGACTTTGGCAGTCAGAAGATTGTATTGTTCGGCGAGCAGATTCAATACTTTAATCCAAAGAACAAGCCCAGGGTGCACGTGGTCCGCATAGCACGCACAGCTGTCCTTAAGGCGGGACGTGAATACATCGTTCCAGGCAATGCACATTTTCGGGAGGAAGTACAGGGCAGTGTGCTGCTGAGTCCGACTAAAGGCTTCATGGAGAAGAATCGGGTGATGGTGGCACGGATTATAATTGGTGCCCAGCCAAGTAATTGAGTTCCCGTTAGACTGTATAACCCAGGTACTGTCGCTGTGAAGGTGAGGAAGGGTGTAATTGCCGGAATCCTCCAGCCTGCTGATGTGGTTCAGGCCTCAACTGCAGCGCTGCCCCCAGCGGATTCATGTCCCGCAGTTGTCCCAAGTCACTTACAGTCGCTGTATGCAGAGAGTACGAGGGATCTGAGGGAGGCAGAACAGCGTGAGTTTGCGGAGCTGCTTCGTGCTTACGGTGATGTTTTCTCCACTGAACCGACAGACCTCGGCCGCACAAACCTTCTCCAACATGACATTCAAACCCAGCCTGGCCCACCTGTGAAGCAGCAACCGCGTAGAATGGCATTTGAGAAACAGCAAAGCGCCGATGAACAGATCCAGCAGAATCTTGATACTGGCTTAGCCTCCCCAAGTAATAGCTGCTGGGCTTCACCCATCGTAATGGTGCAAAAGAAAGACCAAACATACCGCATGTGTGTAGACTACTGGGCACTAAATGAGCGCACCATAAAAGACGCCTACCCACTTCCAAGAATCCAAGACACACTAGACACGCTGTCCACAGCAAAGTGGTTTAGCACATTGGACCTTGCCTCCTGGTACTGGCAAGTGGAGTTGACCCCATAGGCGAGACAGGCAGCTGCGTTCTGTAGCAGGAAGGGGCTCTTTGCGTGGAACGTCATGCCGTTTGGCCTTTGCAATACCCTGGCAACTTTCCAGCGCTTAATGGATCGTGTCTTGGCTGGAATGCAGTGGGAGATCTGCCTAGTATACCTAGACGACATCATTGTGCTGGGCAAGGACGTGAAGGAAATGCTCCAGCGCCTGGCAAAGGTGTTTGAAAGGCTGCGACAGGCCAACCTGAAATTGAAACCCGCTAAGTGTTGTCTCTTCCACCGCCAGGTAGTCTACCTGGGCCACATCGTCTCAGAGCATGGTATAGCTACTGATCCTGAGAAAGTGTGGAAAATTCGAGAGTGGCCACAGCCCACGAGTGTTAACGAAGTCCGGCAGTTTGTGGGTCTCGCATCCTACTACAGACGGTTTGTCAAAGACTTCGCCACAGTTGCAAAGCCCCTTCACAACCTGCTAAGAAAACATGCCCGATTTCACTGGACCCCTGAGAGCCAACAGGCCTTTGATAAGTTAAAGGAGCTGCTCATTACCGCCCCCATCCTTGGCTACCCTATGGACAGTGGTGATCTTATTCTGGATACAGATGCCAGCAACTTCGGAATCGGGGCTCTGCTGTCTCAACTGCAGCAAGGAGAGGAGCGCGTACTAGCATATGGAAGTCGGAGCCTGACGCCAACTGAACAGAATTAACTGCACCACACGGAGAGAACTTTTAGCGGTAGTGGAGTTCACAACACATTTCCGTCAGCACCTGCTGGGCAGATCCTTCACTGTACGTACAGACCATAGTAGCCTACAGTGGCTAATAAGAATGAGAGAACCGGAGGGACAGTTGGCCAGGTGGCTTGAGAAGCTTGGGGAGTATGACTTCAAAGTTGTTCATCACCTTGGGCGCTGTCATGAAAATGCTGATGTGCTTTCCCGGAGGCCATGCCGTTCAACTTGCCCCTGCAACCTTAAGAATCCCATCTTGATTAGCCCTTTGTTATTCTTCTACAATTGTTAAAAAAAAAAATTTTGATGCATGTCATCTGTGGAAAATATTATTTCATGTGTTCCCTTTTTGTAACCCAGGTGGATTTTGTTGTTTACCATGTTGCTGTTAAGGAAACAAGCCAAGTGTGTTTAATTAAGCCTGAGTTGTTTCATTTGTATGCAACGGCTGTTGTTAACCTCTTTTCTTTCTGCAGGCCAGTAGTGGAGAAGTCAGTCGATCACTCAGCTGGCCTTAACTAACTACCTCACTAGTCATGTTGGGACTGAATTACTATTGCTTCAACGAAGGACCCCCCTTTACAAAGCTACTCTTTAACCCCTCCCGGCACCGTGCTATCCTTTCACCTTATGGACTGTTTACCCCGTCACGTGGGGTTGGAATATATCGGCCAGTGCCTCCATTGAGCGGAGTTGCTTGAATGGACTGTGTGCTTTGACAATGGAGCTGCCTACGGACTGTTGATAAAAAAATTTAAAAAAGAAGGGATAAACGAACATAAAAAATTAAATATGGGTAGACATTGTGTTGAATGTACTTTTGCTTTCTGTGAATCTATGGTAATATCCTTGTTAATGTGTGTGATGTATTTTGTATCAGTCATGCCATGGTGCTGGAGTGGTGTTAAGTTTAATCACCATCCAGAGTGGGGGTAGTGTTGCGGGAGAGAGGAAAAAGGAGTTGCCGCTTTAAGACAGCTATGTACGGGAGTTGTAGTCCAGAGTGAGATGCATTATGTGTAATGTAGTTCAGTGTGAAATGTGCTGGAGAGATGTGCCCTCACTGTGTGCTGTGCAGTTGAGAACTGAGGGAGAAAGTTTGTATTCCGCTTAAAAGTTAAGTCAAGTCAGTCCGCCCGGGAGCTGTTTTGCACTGTGAACCTGACAACATGAGAACAAGTAAAAAAATGGCATGCATCGGTAATTTTGTCCGTCTCTTCCTTTGCACGAACATGAATTGACGAGCTGTTACACTGCCGCCGGGAGTTGCTGAAGCGGAGAAAGTAACAACTGTCATGATCTAATGCACTGTAAATGCTGGATTTTTAAAAACAAATAGGCCTACCGGAACACAAAAATTCAAAATCTGACATTTTCCTGAACAGGATCCAGCAGGATCAAATTAAGTACTGGTCATAATACTCACATAAAAATGTTTCATGTGAGCAACAGTGAGTTTTGCTGCAGCAGCGCTGATGGAAGCGGTTCACTGACTGCGCCGCACAGCCACAGTTACGTTTGGGATAATATTATTTTAAATGCCATAATGTCAGTTGAAAACATTGCAATTGTGTTTTAAAATACAACAACGAGCCCCATAAACCATGTTAAGCGGCGCGTTCAGTGGTCTCCATGACGGGATAGGAAACAGTCAACAAAGTAAAATGATCTCAAACGTACGGCGCGCTCTCTTCATTTTATCAAATAATCATAATAATCACACCTATTCATTTTACAATCCTGCTACTAGCATTTTACTCAGACTAAAACCCCTTTATTTCGGGCAAGAAACCGTTTTTATGTGTGTGAGTGGCTTTTGCACATCCTGTCATGCCTTTGACTGCGTGCCGCTGCAATAAACGTATTTTGCAGCATTAAAGTTAACGATTAATCGATTAATTGATCGTTAATTTAAACGACGATCGATCATGGAAATGATCGAAAATTGACATCCCTAACAGACATATTGATAAAGTGAGTTTGGAAATGCAACATTCTCCACCCATTTCACCATATTTATAATTTTACACTATAATAGTGTTATTGCAATCACAATGTATTTCTTTCATGATTTTATAATTGATAATAATTAATTAATTTATTAATAATTTATTGTAATTAGATTTTTGGCCAAATTGTGCAGCCTTACAAACAGGCAAAGCAAATCTGGCTCTCTTAAAAAAACACATTCAAGATCAAAATATCAACAGAGAGAGAGAGAAAAAAAATACTATAATTTGCCATTATGTTTCCAAATATCTCAGAAAATCTTCTCTCAAACCTGATCAGATCATCAGAGACCATCAGTCAATATGAACCTGATCCTGCAGAGACTCTGCTGACATTCAAGTGTCATGAAAGACAACAAAAGGTCAAAAAAGAAAGAAACAAACCTGGAGGAATGAAATCTTCATCATCATCATCCCCATTATTCTCATCATCCTCCTCCTCTTCCTTGTTCTGATCTTCTTCCTCATCACTGTGTTGTTGTTCTTTCTCTGCGGTGGTTTCTTCTCCTCTGCTCTCTATCAGGTTCCTGCAGTCCACCAGTTTGACGGAGCACGTCTTCAGCGGCGTCTGCAGCATCTGCTGTTCTCCAGCGTTACAGTCAGAGGTTTGATCAGTGGATTCATGATCCTGAGCGTCAGTATAACAGAGTAAAGTGAGGCTGAGCTCTGAGTCCTGTGTGTCTCTGGATCTCTGATCTCTGACGCTCCAGACTGAATCCTGAGCTTCTGTCCCATCAGTCACACGCACTGAAACCTGCTCCACATCCTGACAAACACAATCAGCTTATCAATACAGAATCATATATCAGTTGATTCTCATACTAATGAATCAACTTTGAAACGTAAAGGCATAGTTCTCCCAAAAATGAAAATTCTTTCATTAATTACTCACCCTCATGTCGTTCCAAACCTG